TGCTGCTGCTGCTGCGCTTGATTGCCTACTGGGGCGCGCGGGGGCTCTGCGGCGGCCCACAGAGCGGGCGAACTCTTCCTTGACTTCTTCTGAATCCCACAGAGACGGCGGACGACGGCCTGGGAGCACAAAGCAGCAGCGGCAGCAGCAGCAGCAGCAGCAGCAGCAGTTGCATGTGAGCCTCAGCAGCAGCAGGGCTCTTGGCACGCACGCAGCCGTTACCATGCGCACTAAGGAAAGCTTCAAATAAAGAGTGGCCTGTGGCGCTTGCTGCTGCCCTACACTTGCATGAAACGAGACCTAGGGGCTGCCACTTGCTGCTGCTGCTGCTGCTGCTGCTGTTTGAGAGGCACCTGTCAAGGCTGCGTGTTGCTGCTCCGCCTCTTCCACCTTCTCAATTTCTGTCTCCAGGTCGTGGGCCAAAAACTCGCGGTCCCAAAATGAAGTCATGCGGCGGCTGCGGCGCGAAGCAAACTGACGCACAGACCCGCAGCAGCAGCAGCAGCAGCAGCAGTTGCTGTTGCTGCTGCTGAGGCTGCTGCCGCCCATCCTGCTGCTGCTGGCTAGCGCTGGCATCCCCGGTGCAGCAAGAGCCCTCAGTCGGTGTGCACAGAAGGAAAGTACCCTGAAAGATGCTTGGGCTCGAGCTGGAGGCCGTGGAAAGCCTTCGCCAGCCGGCGCTGCTGCTGCTGCTGCTGTTGGTACTGCTGCAGCTGCTGCAGGCGCTGCTGCAGCTGCTGCAGGCCCATGGCACACTTGCTGCGACTGCACCCCCAGCCTCAAGGGCCCTCCTGCTGCTGCTGCTGCAGCTGAGAAGCGAAAGAGACCCCCAGAGAGCCTCTTTGCGTGGAAAGCCATGGGCTGGCTGTTGGCAGGAAAGTAGAGTGTTTTGTGTTTACGTGAAAAAGATGAATATTTGAACTGACAAAAGCCTTCCCTCCTTGCTGCCTCACACACTCTGAAGCTTATACACTTTGTTCTGAAGCAGCAGCTTTGTTGCTGCTACGCCTGTGGCTTGCTGCCTGCTGCTGCGGCCAGTTTGGTCTTCGTTGAATTCGCCTTTTCTGGCGAATCCCGGCTGCCTCGAAGACTTAGGGGGAGTTCTAGACACACAGGCAGCAGCAGTCCGAAAATTGATTCAATAAAAATGTATTTTGATGAGAAAAGGGAATTAAATTCACTTTGAAGGGGAAAACGGAAAATGCCGCTCAGTTCAACTTCGTGGGGGCCCCAGCTCAAGGTTTCGACCGCATGCAGCGGAAACAAACGCAAGGGTTTACTCGGGAATAAGGAAATGTAGAAGCTGATCTTCTGTTGTTTTAATTTCCTTTTTATTAATTCAAAACCCTCATTTTCTCAAGTCCATTTAGAGCTGCTTTCCCCCCGAGGCAGCCCCCGATACGTAGGGGGCCCTGCTCATTCATTTTTGGTACATACACCTGGGAAACCCGAAGCAGCAGCAGCAGCAGCAGCTGCTGCTGCTGCTGCTGTTTCGCATTTTGGAACTCGTAGCAGACACATCGGCCAAGGAGGGCCAGGGGCCTCGGCTCTCGGGCTGTCAGCGTGTCACGAGCGAGCCTTAAACCCTAAACCCTAGACCCTGAACCCTGGGCACAAACCCTCCAAAGTTCGGCCTTCATTCCCGGTGCTGTACGTTGCGGCTCCTTCTGCTGCTGCTTTTCCCGGGTTGAGGGTTAAGGGTTTCCGGTTTAGTTTCCGCACTGCAGTTAGTTGAACCAGGAGAGCCCATGGATCCGCAGGAAACAGCAGCAGCAGCAGCAGCAGCAGAGCCTAAAGGCGCTGTTTCAATCTGCCTCCCCGCAGAGGCGCAGCGGGCGCTGCCGCTGACCATCAAATGGAGAGTTCCGGCCGGCAGCCACGTGGTCGAGGGCCAGGTGCTCGCGCACCTCTTTCCGCCCCCTGCTGCTGCTGCTGCTGCTGCTGAGAATGGCGGTGAAGGTGCAGCAGCAGCAGCAGCAGCAGACGCAGCAGATGCACACAGGAAGGAAACGGCAACGGCCGCAGAGTCACCTGCAGCGCCGGCAGCGGAAGCAGCAGCTGTAAGCCCAGCAGCACGTCCTGGAGCAGCAGAAGCAGCAGAAGCAACAGAAGAAGCAGAAGCAGCAAAGGCAACGGAAGCAGCAGATTCAGTTGGACCAGCAGCAGCGGGAGAAGCAGCGCGTGCTAGGGAAGCAGCCGGATCCGCAGAAGCACGAGGAGCAGCAGAAGCAGCAGCAGCCGATGCAGCAGAAGGAGGCGCACCAGAAGCAGCAGCAACAGGGACAGCAGCAGCAGCAGCAGCAGATGGAGGGCCGCCTGCTGCTTCCGAGTTTGTGGTGCGCGCCCCTGTGTCTGGAGTTCTTTGCAAGTTGTCGGTTTTGAACAATGAAATTATTTCCAGCAGCACCGAGTAAGCCACGCGGGGCAGTATTAGCTGCTGCTGCTGCTGCTGCTGCTGCCCGTGCTGCAGCAGCAGGTGCTGCAGCAGCAGTCGCAGATGGCGCGGCCAGGCTACTGCGACTGTGTGATCCGTGTTCGTTTACCCCTCCCTGTTCCCTTCCCTACTGCTTCCAACTCCATTACTGTTGCTGCTGCTGCCGCTGCTGCTGCTGCTGCAGGCTGGGTGCGGTGGCGGCGACGGCGTGCGAGCACCCGCTGGCTGTGGGGGGCATCTGCCTCTGCTGCCTGGCGGCCGTGGGTGCCGCGGCGGAAGGGAAGGTCCAGGCCGGCTTTCTCTCCGCCCAGCGGGAACTCCGGGTGGACGTACACGTCAGCAGCGCGCCCCTCGCACAGCCCTCACTTCTTTTATTCTGCACTTTTTGGCTTTGAATCGCTTTCGCTTTCTTCTGCGTTCACTTCTTTTA